AAAAAAAAAAAAAAAAAAAAAAAAAAAAAAAAAGAATAACTGGCTTTTTTATGGCAGTATTCATTTATTTATTCCAACATGTAATAGTGTGGCAAGCCGCTAAGGTTAAGCTACTTTTCACAGTGTACTTGTATTAAACATATCAACGCGTTTTATTCCTGTTTTTGTTACCACTGTTCTTGTTGTTCCTCTCGTTTTTGTTGCTGCTACCGCCTTTGTTGCTCTCTGTAACGTCTTTTGATTTTTTTTATTTCAGATGCATATTCTAAAAACTGATTATTATTGATATCGGTAACAAGTTCCGCAAAATTCTATTTTACTTTTAGCAGCCGTATTTGCTTATTTCTGCTTTCGCCACAAGGAGCTTCACTAACAACAGTGCTGCACCGAACAATCCGTTTAAAGGTATGACTGCTGTTTCTACTTCTCTATTTCTCTCTTTCTTTTGTTTATTCAATATTTTTTTCTTCTCCCTCTTTTTACTTCCTTTATTGGCTTTGTTGAGGTAAATTTTTTTTGCACGTATTTTCTTTCAATTTTTTCTTTGCTTAGGATCTGGATAAAACTTGAATTACAGTTAAAGATAGAATGTTTGATTATTGAAGTAATTTTGAAAAAAAATTATACATCTATAACGCCAAATTTGGAAAACAAAATCCTCATAAAAGCGCATTTCTGCATTGTTCATTCGGAACCATCACAATCAAATGTTATAAACAAAAAAATATTCATCCAAATAATGAAAATAAAGTGAGGAAATTCAAAAGTTTGTTGTTAAAAAAATAAAAAAACAAAAATTTTAAACAAGAAACTGAGGTTCTTAAAAATGTTAAACATTTCTTAATAAATATCTTTTAATATTCAATCAAAAGTCTATTGCCGCGGTAATACACACAATTAGAATATTACGCGTGTAAAAAATACCGTAGCAAACAAACGGTATATTTTTGAAATGTTTCTGTAAAGAGAAATATTAATTTGAAAAATTATAAGATTTGAGTGTAATGAGACGAATGCCATATAATAATTGATTTCGAACGACGCAACTTCAATGATTCTATCATGTATTTCAGTTTGATCCACATCAAGCTCTCAGCAAATTTAGACAACACCATGTTTTTAGCACACATAAAAAACAGTTGCGTCTAGTAGTTCGGTACGTAGATCAGTGGAACACAAGAACAGTCTTTCCACATTTCATACAACAACAACACTTCTTTGCACTTTCTTATTCTATATTTTTACCTAGCTATAAAGACAAAAAATTAAAAACAGAATTGAAACTATAACATTTCGTGTTTAGCATACACCTAAATAAGTAGAGGCATAACGTACACAGCAATTTTGAAAACAAAATTTAAGTGTAACGTTCAGCATTACATTTTTTTCTTGCTGCAGTTATTCGTTCTTTATCTTTCCACCGAAAAAGGGGAAAGAAGCAAAATGTGGATCAGAAGATTAGTATAATTGCCTTCACAGATCTAAAACTGAGTAACTGAACTTCACACGTTCCCACAATCATCGTCGTCGTCAATGCTATCACTACTATTCAGACGACCACAAAAAGCTCTAATTTCAGCCTTTTTTTTATTTTTACTTTTGGTACAAAATTACGTTATGTACATATGTATTTATTTGTTTATTTATTCATTTGTTTATTTATTTTTTCTCTTATTTATTAATTCTAATAGTTAATATCTTTATTAACTTTCGTTTTTAACAAAAAAAGAAAGTCCTGTGTGATAACTCCCTGTAATTGCTACTATCTTTTTTAAACCTTTCCAAAAACAACTCAGTAACTGTATCAATGTTCATTCCTATTGTTGTTGTTGTTGTTGATGATATTATTTTTTTTCTGCAAAAGTATAAAAAGCACAGTGGTCTGTCTCATTTCAGTTTGTAATGTTTATTTGGAAGTAACGGCCATTGTTCGTATGGCCGCAAAGGACTACATAAGGGAATTCAAATTTGACTGGAAACCCGAGGTACATTCTGCACTGCTAGAAGGAACCGTTTTTGATCGATACGATGACGTAGGTCTACGTTTCTATTTCATCTTCTGTATTTTTTTACATAGTTCTAGGATGATTAATCTATAGCCTATGGGCTAGCAGTAGCAAAGTGACAACGGCAGCAACGACAACATTTCCTTAAATTTTGACAATTAAAAGATTAAGTTTGTTTTCTGTGAATTTTTTGCTCTTGCTTTTTCTTCAGTATTTAATGCTTTTAAAAAACTTCTTTACTTTAAATTTGTTTTTGGAAGCTTTTTTTATCATTCTTATATTATTTAGATTCAAGTTTATACATGTTTCCTTCAATCTTGCAAAAAAAGCTAATTTCCTTGACAAGTGAGGGTTTACAAAAAACACTGAAACTGTTGCTTTTATACGGATGCAAATTACTGAGGAATAGAAAACCGGTCTGACAGTCAGTCTTTTTTTTGAAACTGTTCAATTAGCAGTCTTTTTGCAAGTTTTTCTCTCAGCGTTTTGAACTCAATTGATAGGCAACGACAAGTACGTCTTAGGAGAATTGACGCTTTTCCTGAGAAATTTATGACGTTGATATGCTGCAGTTTTACTCTTATTCTGACCTTGTAATAATGACTACAAATGCAGCACTTATTAAATACATTCTATTAAGGATATCTACTTTTTTCTTTTCGTTTACCTTTTATGCAGCAAAACTGCCAGCGGATTTTATCTAAGCATGTTACCCCCTTAAGATTTTCATGCTGTAGAGCTTTAATATCATATTAACTTTCCTGTTCAGTGACTATCAAATGGTTACCAAAAAACTAATAAATATTTTGCATCAGTGACGGTGGAGCGATAATCTGATGCACAGGTTTTATTAACTATGTTTAGGATTATCGATTTATTCATCTTCAAGTTTCAGGATCCTGAGTATCATGCAAGTGACAGGAATTTTGTTCTATTTTAATTCGGTTGGGCTAGTAAGTAGGATTTAAAAGCCTTTAATGTTTGGTACCCTCATATTCGTAATCGTAATTTTAACTGAAGTTTGATTGAATTTGTGGCTTTAATTGCAGTTTTTTAATTTTGCAATAATTTCTTGAATCCTGGCCGTCAGCTTATTACTTTTAATCACCTCGTGTAGCTGGAAGTTCTTTTATCAAAAAAGGCGATTCTATGTTC